GTTGTTTTGTTTATGTGTTTTATTTGTAATAACGGTCAATATTTTCTCCTTACAGCCTCGCATCAACAACAAACTACAAAACCTTGCCGATCACAATGGCTTCATCACTTCAGATTGCGTCAGTCCTGGGGTTACTCAGTGTACTGTTTACGTCATCACTGGCGGCCTTGACCCCCCTCAGTCCTTGCCCCAACAACTTCTGTGAGTACCTAATCAGTATATTATTACTTCACTTCACTTTATTGTACTTTGTTGCTGTGTCACATTTTGCATTCTGGTATTGTTTTTGTCTAATGTTTCTCTAACCCCTTCTATCCATCTTTTCCTGAGCCTGCCTCTTCCTCAGTGTCCATCTGATCTCTCGTTGTCTCTCGCTGCCTCTTTCACTCTATACTGTCTGGAAGTAGTTTCTCAGCAGCTGACGACAAAGCATATCCAGCCTTTTGCTTTTTCCCGCTGTAAGTTAAAGTAGTATAGTTGTCTTAACATCTTCATCATCAGTGATACTGTTATTATCTATATTGTTGTCACTGTAATTATTCTCATCTCCTCCCCCCGCCCCCGTCCAGTCTACGACGCCTTGTATGACCTTGGAGCCGGCACTGTGTGTAACAGCAATCACGTGACCGTACAGGAGGCGCTTCTGGGAGAAGGATGCAGCACCCGAGGTGAGGGGGAATAGGCTCTCCTTGTTCGTTCGTCAGTTAGTTCGTTTGTTTGTTCGCTCCTTTCTTTGTTTTTGTTCCTTTGTTTTCTTTGTTTACTGTATGTACATCTCTTTCACCCCTACCGATACTATTGAGATGATTAAAGGACAAAGATTCTGTAAAACAAGATGATTCACTCCTCTCCTTGAACCAAACACTGGAATATAGAATGCGTGACGTCAGCAGCTAAGCAAAGGGGCTGCAGTTGTTAAATTCTCTAATCTTTTTTTTAAAGTTTTCTTTTTTGTGATTCCTTCTCTTTTTCTCGCCGCATACATAGAACTTTATACCTCCAACCTTCTCGTTCTTGCAGCTTTCTCACAAGAACTGCTCATAATCTAGTGAGCCGATTGCCTGAATTGTGTCTCAACGTAGGTGTTGAACTTGTAGGTTTACAGTCCCTGTTCCTAACTCAACTCCATATCCAACAACAGCAATAAACAACAACAACAACAACAGCAGCAGCAGTAGCAACAACAACAACAACAACGACAACAATAGCAACAAAAACAGAAGCACCAGAAACAACAACGTAATGATCAACATCAGCATCTTCCTCCTCCTCCTTCTTCTTCTCCTCCTCACCCTCACCACCACCACCACCCTCACCCTCCTC